CGGCCACGCTGGGGCTGGAGCCCCAAAGGCCCCCGCCACCCCCACCCTGGCGGGGCAGACGGAGCAGCTGCCGGCCTGTGCTTAGCATGGTCCCAGAGGGGCTGTCAGCCTGGGGCTGTTTGTTTCCTGGGGGGCGGGTTATGGCCCCAAAGGCCGGGGAGTTTGGACAGCTCCCATTCCCACGCAGGGGAGGAGTTAAGCCACTCACTAGCACTGACCGAAACCCTGCCTGGTGCCCCCGTGGGTCTCGGGCGTGGCTGGCGGATGGAGTCCCCGCCCCCCGTGACTCACTGGCTGGGCCGTGTGCTGGGGCGAGGGGGGCAGTGGGGGACAGCCCCAACCTGCCCCAAAGGCCGGGGAGTTTGGACAGCTCCCATTCCCACGCAGGGGAGGAGTTAAGCCACTCACTAGCACTGACCGAAACCCTGCCTGGTGCCCCCGTGGGTCTCGGGCGTGGCTGGCGGATGGAGTCCCCGCCCCCCGTGACTCACTGGCTGGGCCGTGTGCTGGGGCGAGGGGGGCAGTGGGGGACAGCCCCAACCTCCCCGAGGGGCCATTTCTGCATGAGTCTGAGCAGCCGCAACAGGGCAGACGGTTCCTCCGCTCAGACCTCTCAGCTACTCACGCGAGGGGAGAGCTTTAAAAATCCCACTGGCAACGGGTCCCCCAGTGCCTGTCCGCCTCAGCACAGAGCTCCCCAGAGACCTCGCTCTCCTGCACCCCAGCCCTCTGCCCCCTTGGTCCCAGCCCACCACATGCATTCTGACACGGGCACCAGTGCGGAGGCGGCCGGTCGCACAGCACCTCCGCATTGGCGCACATCAGTAAATGGGAGAGCTTTAAAAATCCCACTGGCAACGGGTCCCCCAGTGCCTGTCCGCCTCAGCACAGAGCTCCCCAGAGACCTCGCTCTCCTGCACCCCAGCCCTCTGCCCCCTTGGTCCCAGCCCACCACATGCATTCTGACACGGGCACCAGTGCGGAGGCGGCCGGTCGCACAGCACCTCCGCATTGGCGCACATCAGTAAATCCATTCCGGGGCGGGGGGGGGAACCAGGAGGGAGCCCTGCCTGCGCCCAGTCAGCTCGGCCAGCGCCCGCCGCGGCGC